CCTGTCATTTGCCTTGTTTGATGGGAGATATCTGAAAGGGAAAAAGGAGTTGGGGATGAGAATGTCAGCTCTACAGCTAGTCCTTCATCTACAACAGTTCATTTAGTGACCATCTGAAGTTTCAACAGCATTGAAAAAAGTGACTTATGACCATTTTTCACACTTACGACCGTTGCAGCATCCCCATATCATATGATTAAAATTCAGACGCTTGCCCACCGACTCATATTTATGACGGTCGCAGTGTCCCGGGGGGGTCACGTGATCCCCTTTTGTGACCTTCTGAGAAGCAAAGTCAAGGGGGGAGCCAGATTCACTTAACAACCGTGTTACTCACTTAAGGACTGCAGTGATTCACTTAACAACTGTGGCAAGAAAGAGGGTAAAATGGGGCAAGGTTCACTTCACTCTCTCGCTTAGCAACGGAAATTTTGGGCTCAATTGTGGTCGTAAGTTGAGGACAACCCATAGTTCTTTTAGACTCATCCGAGATTTCATGCAGATAGGTCACGATTCGTGCGGGTTCGGATAGTGTAAAATTCATTTAGTGAGACTTATAAAATTGATACCAGGTTTTGTTTCAATACGAGCCACAAGGTTCACATTAATGCAAAGCTGGCACTTGTGTGGTTGAGATTAAGGCATGCACAATTGCCGTTTGGATTTTAGACGCCCGTCATTGTTCGTGCAAAATGGAGACAAGGAAAGAAATAATAATAAAAAAGGAGATGCTCCTTTTAAAGAACTCTAGCAAAATACAGGAGATAGCAGATCTGTTTTAAGATATGGGTTACATCTGCTACAGGAGATAAAAGTCTCTTTTCCTTTTGACAGCATTTCATACAAATGTATGTTTTAAAAATTTTCAATGGTCAGTTTCTGGTGAACTGGAACCAATTATCCTGTTTTCTGCAGAAAGAGCGTTTCGAATAATGCCACCATTACGTGGGGGTTTTATTGTGTGCACGAATCGAGACCACCCTGTGTAACTAAATCTGTAAATCTAACTAAATAATATAACTAAATCTACAAATATAGCAGTGTATGCAGGAAAGTGATCCCCGAATGTCTTGACATAACTAAAGGCTCAGTCAAGACTCTTCTAGCAATCAAAGCAGAATTTATGTACTTTTCATAAGCTTTTCACGCTGTGCTTGCGCCGTCCCTATAACGCATCCTTTTTTTCTTTCCAATTAGCTGGAAATGCAAAAGAAATGAGCCAGCATCGCTGCGAGGACCACGCCCACACGCCTCTACTACCACTCCCAGCCGCCCCGGCGGTCACTCGACCGTGGCCGCGGACGAAGGCAACCGGCGCAAGGCACGCCGGGAGCTGTGGTCCCTCCCTTTCTTTATGTAAAGGTCTCGAAAAGAGAAGGAAGCGTCCCGAGAGCTTTTCCCCGCCCCTCCCTCCTGATAGGACGCTTCTCCTGAACGAGGCGGACAGAACGGGGGGACGGCGGCGAATGGGCGAGGCGGAAGGAGGATTGACGCGGCGGGGAGCCAGTGGCGCGGCGGCGGCGCTGTCGCTGGGCGAGCGGGAGGCCTGGCTGGCTGGCGGCGGAGCGCAGTTTGTCGACGAGCGGCAGCGGTGGCGGCGGCGGCGCTGACGGGGCGGCCGAGCCCGGGACGGGCGGCCTCAGCGGCCTGAAGGAGGTGAGTCTGGACTGGCCACGCTGCCCGGGGCCGGAGGCGGGTGACTGTCGCGGCTCGCTCCGAAGTCAGTCCTCGGGCGGGGGTCCCTGCCATCCCCACCCTCTTTTCAAGCCCGCTTGTCCCCCTTGACACGTGTCGGGGCCGCTTCACACGTGTGGACCGTTACACAGGGCGTGCTTTAGCCTCTCTTGCCTCCCTGGCAGGCGAGGGCGGCGGGCTGGACCGTGGGAATTGTCTCAAACCCGTGTTTGGGCATGCCCTGCCTCCCCAAGACCTCTGCCTCCTCCTCCTTATACTTTACCATTATTATTTTTTATTATTATTATTATTATTATTATTATTATTATTATTATTATTATTATTATTATTATTATTATTATTATTATTATTATTATTGTCTCAAACCCGTGTTTGGGCATGCCCTGCCTCCCCAAGTCCTCTGCCTCCTCCTCCTTATACTTTACCATTATTTATTATTATTATTACTGCTACTACTACTACTTCTACTACTACTACTGTTGTTGTTGTTGTTGTCATCTTAAACCCGTGTTTGGGCATGCCCTGCCTCCCCAAGTCCTCTGCCTCTTCCTCCTTGTACATCATCATCATCATCATCATCATTATTATTATCATCTTCTTCTATCCCAACCCTTACTCTGGAAGTTGAGGACAATGTCGGCGGAGGAGGGGCGGTCTCCCCATATTATCCCACTACAACATCCCTGTAGGGTGGGCTCCTCTGAAAGAGAGAGAGCCAAAATTCACCCCCTCCGGGTCCATGTCTGAAAGGGGACCTCAGCCTGGGTCTCTCCTGCCTTACCCATCCTGCTGCGCCCTCTTCTCCTCCTGGTCCCCTCCGTCCGCCCAGATCCAAGCCGTCCATTGGATTGGCTGCTTTTATGGTGCAATTAAGTCCCCCCCCCCTTAAACTGAAGAAAACATTTTCAAGGGAAAAAAAACAACCCACGAAAGTCCGGTTGCCTTTTGGAAAAAGCAGCTTTAGGACTCTTTTGAGATGCAAACACCAGGCTGGGATGGGCACCTCCGAACAATGCACACACTGCGCGCACACATACTTGTATAAGGATGGATTTGGGGAGGGGAAGGGATCGATAGGCAGATGACAGGGACCAGACATCTAGGGGGGTCTAAAACAAGCCAGAATTGCCTATGGGATGGGGAGCTGGGATGTGGGTATGTGTGTGTGTGCATGTGTGCATTGTTCAGAGGTGCACATCCCAGCCTGGTGTTTGCATCTCAACAGATTCCCAAAGCTGCTTTTTCCAAGAGGCAACTGGGCTTTCCGAGGTGTGTGTGTGTGTGCGTTCCTTGAAAAGAAAACATTTTGCTTCTCATCCAGGAAGCTTCTTCAGTTCAAGGGGCGGGGGGAATCAAGAAAGTCGAGTTGCCTTTTGGAAAAAGCACCTTTGGGACAACCCTGACCTGGATGATGGAGAATCTCCATAGACATCGCAACAGAGTCCATTTGAACAGTCCAAAACAAACCTGGGCATTTTGCAGGTTGGAACCTAGCATTGTCTCATCTCTGAATCAGGGCTGGGCTGGCTAGGAAACAAGAGTCCTGTGGTTTTTGTTCCAGCGTTTTGCCCCTGATAGAAATAAAATTGAACAGACTGAGGGGTTTGACAGTACCTGCAGTCTGTGCATTTGTCAAAAAAAAACAGTGATGCTTTTGTTGTCCTCCAATCCCCAAGTCTAACGGGGCGTTTGGCTTGTCTCGGAAGAAGATGTCACCAGATGATCAGCTTTGAATATTTAAAAGCCACCAAAGAATGTCAAGTCATATAAGGGCTGTAGGAACCCATCTTCTAGCTTTGATTTTTCTTTTCCGGTATGTTTGTTTGTAACTAGACTTCTTTAATGCAAAGGAATGTAATTTTTTTCTGGAAGAATTTCCTTTCTGCAGACCCTAAATCAGCCTGGGTTGTCTTTCACGGACTAAATCTTTTGTCAGCTGTCACTGTTAACACTGAGGTTTAATTTCTGTTCATATTAGTTCTCAAATCTTGATCTTTTCTTGTAAAAAAAAAACAACTAATGGAATTGAAGGAAGAGACCACACATTTCTTCTCCATAGGTGGATAATGTGAATAAATAGTTAACTGACTTGAAGATACTATCTCTTGTATGACTCCCTTAGGCCCTCTTTCTTCATTGCCCCATTTATTTTCCCCCTTTTCTCCATTCTTGTCTAATGTCTAATATCCTGACTCCTTTTGCTGTCACACTCTCCTCCTTACACTCTTTCCAGTCACCATGGTTTTATACCTTTGTGTTCATATCTCATCTTTATTCTTGTCCTTTTCTGGACTTCTCCCTCTCACCTTCTGTTCCTTGTTAATTAATCTTCAGCCATCCCCTTTTTCTGTAATTGCAACGGTTGACATGATTTATTAGCTCACAATGCTGGGGGAAGCATACCCTGAAAGAAAAACAATTTGCTCCTTTTTTTATTACAATTTAACTCTCGTTTATAAACACAAAAGAGAGAGAGAGAGATTATAGTTTATTATTGGTTCCTTCTTGAAGATCCATTTGTTTCGGAATATCTTGATCCAGCTGCAGTTAGCCTTGGAAAAGATTAGGAAAGGGCAGAAAATAATAATATCCCTTAAAGAAAAATTAGGTAGAGTAAGGGAATTGTCAGCACTGTAAAAATACGAATATTGCAGGGCACCGTATTAATAGTAATTATGCAAGTCAAATGAAACACACTTGATTTCTTTTACAGGACAGTCAAAAGATGTTGGGTGTGTGGATGGGAGAAAGGAAAGGCACGAGCAAGAAATCTAAAATCTCTGCATGTTTTTGTGTAAATAAATAGTATCCAATGAATAGATCTAGGAACAGTCTCTTCCTTTACAACAGAGTAGCTGCCTATATATCAAATAATTTCATTTTATCATTTTTCTTGCTAGATTAACTTGTCGCTAACGTGACAATGAATGGATCTTCTCCCTTATTTTATACGTAGAAGTGGAAGAGTTACCAATCTGGCTATTGTTAATATCCTTCTTGGAAGCTTAAGAGACTTTTTAAAGCTTGCTTGTATTTTGCAACTCTTGAACAAAGTAAGTAGGTCATCTTTTTCCCATTCTCTCTTCTCCCCCCCCTCCCAGAATCCTGACATATTTTGACAGCAGCCCTTCATTCACAAAGGATGATGAGACTCTTGTGAGAAGAACCATTCTTTTGAGTTGTGTCCTCTTTGGGGAAAAAACAGAATCGCGCTAACTCTCTCAAGATTACCCCTGCAAGATTGGCGTCTCCAGCATCTCTCAGTCTGGCTGGCTGTTTAGCATGCGAATCGTGCACCTTCACTAATGAGAGGGAGAATGGGAACCCAGGGCAGCCCTGTAAAAAGCTACGATTATCTGCTGAAGTTTTTGTTGGTTGGCGACAGCGACGTGGGCAAAGGAGAAATCCTGGAGAGTCTTCAAGACGGGGCATCGGAATCGCCGTACGCCTACAGCAACGGTAAGCGTGTTGTGTGTGCGATTCAGAAGTACGCCTGCAGATAATAGCAGGGTTAAGCTGAATTGTGTTTCTTTTCAGAGTTGGGGTACAAGGAGGGCCGAGCTAAATCTGGTTTCCTTCTGCACCGCTAAATCTTTTTAAAATTTTTTTATTTTTTTAAATGAAAAGCTGGAGAGATCATTAACCGTCGTGCCGGAAGACTGTAATTAAGAGCGAAGACGGCAGCATCACACTTTCCCCTGTGTCTTTCCACGGTAGTTAAAAATGTAACGCTGTCTAGTCGGGCTGTGTCGTGTTGTGTCTTTGCAAGCTGTCATAGCTCTGGCCGTTTAAAATTCTGTGCAACAGCTGTAAGGGCATTTTTGACAGAAAAATGCCAGTTCTTGTACCAGTTTTGAATTGAACGGTTGGCAACTAACTTTTAAAGGCCTGGGGGCCAAAACCTATGAAGATTTGGGTTTGGCTAGTCTAGAGAAAAGAAGGACTGGGGGGGGGAGGCATGATAGCAATATTCCAGTATTTGAGGGGCTGTCAGAAAGAGGAAGGGGGTCAACTTATTTTCCAAAGCACCAGAGGGCAGGATGGAAACTAATCAAGGAGAGAAGCAACCTGGAATTAAGGAGACACTTCCTAACAGTGAGGAGAATTAACAAGTAGAACAACTTGCCTTCAGACGTTGTGGGTGGTCCAACACTGGAGGTGTTTAAGAAGAGACTGGACAGCCACATGTCTGAAATGGTATAGGGTCTCCTGCCTGAGCAGGGGGTTGGACTAGATGACCTCCAAGGTCCCTTCCAGCTCTATTTTCATTGACTTTGCCTACCCTGATAGCAAAGTTAAGAGAGCTCAAGCTAAATATAAGAGAAACAGATTGTTTGTTTATGACTGTCGATGTACAGGTAGTCCTCAACTTACAACAGTCCATTTAGTGACAGTTCAAAGTTACAACGGCCGTGAAAAAAGGGACAGCCGTTGCAGCATCCCCAGGGTCACATGATCGAAATTCAGACGCTCGGCCACTAGTTCATATTTACGACGGTTGCAACGTCCCGGAGGATCACGTGATCCCCTTTTGCAACGTTCTGACAAGCAGAGTAAACAGGGGAAAGCCAGATTCACTTAACAACCATGTTACTAACTTAACAACTGCAATGATTCACTTAACAACTGTGGCAAGAAAGGTCATGAAATGGGGCAAAATTCGCTTCACAAATGTCTCATTGAGCAACATAAATTTTGGGCCTCAATTGTGGTCGTAAGTCGAGGACTGTCTGTATCAAAACCCGATTCTCATATTTTTCACTTAGCATATCAAAAAGTTTCTTTACTTTCTTTGCTCCCAGCCAGGCAGCAAAAATGCCATCATTCTTGACACGCGTTCGGACTCCACGCTCTAAAAATTCGCACGCCGTAGTATGAATCCTATTGGGATAAAGGGGCACTTAAATAATTTTTGGATGCAAAAGTGTTTATCGCATTTATTATATATATTTGGTTAGCATGCTGCAGATAGGCGGCTGGATTTGGCTGAGCCTCAGGCAGTCAGATTTTCCATGGAATTTAGATTCTCTAGAGAAAAAAAAAACTGGCTTGAAAAAGTGAAAAGGCAGAGACTTTTCATACTTGTCCATTTGTTACTCTTCGTGGGAGAGAAGCGTGATGGTGCTTTTCCTGACTTAACATGTTTTGTTAAAAGCGATAAGCTTTTGTTGGTGCAGCTCATTTCACCAGCTGCCTAGAATATCTGTCAATAGCTTCATTGCATATATTTTGCCTCCAGATTTGGTAAAAGGATGTCATAGTTGAGAACAAAGTTTTTCTTATGCCCTGTATTGGAGTTTCTAAGGGCAGGTTGTTAGTCACCGTGAGAAATTAAATACCCTGGTTTGGGGCCTTGTAGGGAGAGGGGTGGCAAACACATTTACTAAATAATAATATTTACATTAAGTCTTTACAGCATTGTCTCTCAACCCTGGCCACTTTAAAAGGGGTGGGCTTCAATTCCCAGAATTCCCCCAGCCAGCATGAAGTCCCCCCATCTTAAAATTGCCAAGGTTGAGAAACTCTGCTTTGCAGTATTCATAATCGTGGATGATGGAGTTTGAACAAGTAACCCGGAAGTGAAATGTTCAATTTTCTTCTGATCTGAGCTTAAGAAGCTGTAAAGCTGCCACCAGACCACAAAGCTGAAACATTATGCCGAGGCTCTTTTGCAAAACCTGGAAACCACTACAGTTCACGCATTCTAGTTCCCATTTTAAACAGATGCTCCAGTGTGCCATTTATTTGTCCTCTTCAAGACGGCTCTCTTCCAGTATAAAATTGCTATAATCCCAACGTTTGAACTGGGAGCAATCTAGGTCTTGACGCCATTAATTTTTTTTGAAAGACAGACAAACCTTAGTTTTTTTTACAGGTATCCGATAACTCTTGCCACGTCTGTTATGTGGTCATTGTGTAAAAACAGTAGAAGGTACACAACTCATGAAATCTCTAATCTTTTTCTCAGTCATTAAGAATGAAACAAGCCTTGCTTTTCCTGATGGACAAGTAAAAAATATCTGAAAAGCTTAAGTTATTTCGTCAGGCGTGTTCGGGAGATTTACTTGCGAGGAGAGTGAAGAATTAAATTCTGATAATGTCCTTTGATATTTTTTTTCCTGCATGAGTTTGGTGGCTACAGCTGACGGTAGAAAGCATTTCAGGATTTGTCCAGAGAAGGGAAGAGAGAAGCTCTTAGGAAATGGGTTGATTATGCTTTGCACAGAACTGATCTTTGATTTCTATTGATCTGGCCATGGGATATAATGAGGAACTGACTTAGCATATTAAAGCAGTTTCCTGAGCTAGCTTTGTGTGATCTTTCTTCTCTATTTAGGATTCACATTGCTTCCCCCCCTTTTTTGTTTTTAAGTCATTACTCTGTCGCAAGTATCAGGAAGAACACTCGCAATACTTGACTTGCATCATTTAGTTCTAGAACAGGGGTGCCAAACTCAATTTCATTGAGGGCCGCATCAGCATTGCGGTTGCTCTCGGGGAGGGGCGTATGGGTGTGGCCCGGATGGGTGCGGCCTACTGGGTGGGCGTGGATGGAGTGGGTGTGGCCTACTGGGTGCGCCTGGCCAGCTCGACATCGTTCGCATCAAGGGTGCCTGTGGGGGCCTGGGCAGGAGTGGGACAGATCTGGGGGTCTCTGGCAGAAGGGGGTGGGACCGGGGCAAGCGCCAAGGCATGGTGCATTTCTTCATTCCTCACAAAGGGTGACACCTCCCCAGCATGCACCCAGGGGGCAGGGCCGACACGGCAGGGGCTGGTTCCTCGCTGTTTCTAGACGGCCTTGTGGAGCTAAGACTGAATGTGTTTCAGCATAGATGGCCACCACAAAATTGTACATTGGATCCCGGCTGGCCTGGGCCAGGGCCAAGGCAGCGGGGGCTGTTCCCTCACTGTTTCCAGGATGGCTTCGCGGGCCACATGAAACCACTTCGCGGGCCGCATCCGGCCCCCGGGCCTTGTGTTTGACATGTCTGTTCTAGAACATGTCTATTAATGATTTGTATTTCACGGAGGACTGAAAAACAGCATTCAACTGCTTCGTCCGTGGTAGATAATCTGGACGAAATATTCACAGGTTGGAAGATCTGTCAGTAGACATTTCAAAACAGCTAGCCCATCCTCAAAATACAGGTCGTCCTCAACAACGGTTCATTTAGGGATTGTTCGAAGTTACAGCAACACTGAAAAAAGCGACTTACGACCATTTTTCACAGTTACGGCCATTGCAGCATCTCCATGGTCACGCGATCAAAATTCAGATGCTTGGCAACTGATTCACCTTTATGACGGCTACAATGTTCCGGTCTCTCCTAACCAAGGAGAGAAGCAACCTAGAACTAAGGAGAAACTTCCTGACAGTGAGAACAATTAACCCATGGAACCACCTGCCTCCAGAAGCGGTGAATGCTCCAACACTGGAAGTTTTTAAGAAGAGACTGGACAGCCATTTGTCCGAAATGGTGTAGGGTTCCCTGCCTGAGCAGGGGGTTGGACTAGATGACCTCCAAGGTCCCTTCCAACTTTATTATTATTATTATTGTCATGCGATTCCCCTTTTGCAAGCAAAGTCAGTTGGGGAAGCCGGGATTGACTCAACAATCGTGTTATTAACCAGCTGCAGTGATTCACTTAACAACTGTGTCAAGAAAGGTCGTAAAGGGGGCGGCAACTCACTTAACAAATGTCTCACTTAGCGACATAAATTTTGGCGCTCAATTGTGGTCGTAAATCGAGGACTACCTGCGTATGGGTTTCGCATTCATCGGAATCTAGTTACCCCTAATAAAGAACGGCAAGATGTGTCATGAAGTCCAACCCTCTCGTTTAAACACGGGCCAGTGCAGTAAATCAAATCCAGCTGATTTCTGTTGGATTAACACTCTGTTTGCTGTGCATTCTGAAGACATGAGTCATGTGAAAGCCTTGCCCTTGTTGCACACCAAATAGAAATGACCACACAACCGCAGAAAGGGACTTGCAGGCAGTTTGCAGACTTTATTTTTCTTTATTTGAATTAGCGGCGAAAGCTGCTCTTGCTTGCGACAAATGGCTGCTAAGGCGGCTTGCATTGTCCCCCATAAAACTGCACATAAACGGGTCCCTAAAATCGCCAGGAATCGAGTTTGGCTTGACACATCCTTCCTCAACCCCCCCCCCCCCAATCTTTTCAGAGCTGCCTAAGAGACCTTTATGCATTCAGACTAGAAAGTCTGCCCCTGAAATAAAATTCTTCCAAATCAAAACTGCGAAAAGCATGACTGTGTGCGTGTGACTTCCTTCAGTTGTACCCACGGTTATGGCTGTGCACAGTTTGGGATTTAATTTTCGGAATCGATGGGAATAAATTTATACTAGAGAAGCTTCTCGCAGACTCTTTTTTCTCGTGTATTTTTCATAAGATGAATTTAGGTGGGAATGCAGTGAAAATAGAGGGCTCTGCA